TAACCGGAAGTTTGCTTTGACACAAACTTATTGCTGAATAGGGATTTTACGGTTATACCTTATTTTTACCTGAGAGAAATTTTTGCCTTTATTTTATAGTAGGTACATAATTGTATTTTATTTAACTATGCATCCTAGAGAAGTTTATTAAAACAAACAATATTTATATTTAGCAATAGGCAACTCATATTTTTATCAGAACTTGTTGAATACATAAATTTTAAACTAAACTTAAAAAGATAGCTATTTTGAGCAAATTTATGTTACGAATATTTTTTATCTATAGTACCTAATTAGGTATGTTGGATTTTTTAACATTTTTCATTTTTCAACATTAAAACGTTAGGTACCTAAATAGGCATCATTCTTATATTTAACTCGTAATAATCACTTTGAATTTTTTTGAATAATCAAGAATTTAAATAAGTAGAGCGAGTTAAGTATCTGTAAAAAATAAGGATCCTTATAAAGTGGAAAAACTACAGTAATAGGCTTATAGAAGATATAGGTATCAAATATCTATATGTATACTTTTATCTGAAATTTCCATCTTTCTCTATATTCTTTTCCAGATTTTGTTACCTTATTTTTAATTCAATTTAACCGTCGCTTAATTACTGATGGTATTTTTTATATTGCCAATTGTCTTAAAATTTTACACTTTATTATAATTATCTTCTTTTTACCCCGAATTTAATACAACCAATCATTAATTTTCAATCAGTTTTTTAACAATTTTCTCCCATCTCTTTATTTTCCATACGATTTTCAGAAAACAAACAGGCGAATTTCTTTTATATGCATCTCTTATATGAATAGTTAAAAATTGTGAAAATTATGTCAGTGATAATCTACTAATTTTAGCCCTTTTCCTATTACAGTTTACAATTAATATAATTAAATGATGTAATGGATTGCATGACCACTTCATTCAATAAAAGCAATAATGAGAATTGATGAAAATGAGTCTCTGTTGGAATTAAAAGCAATTGAAGCTTTTTCATTTATCCAATCATTTTATTGAAATACTGGGGAAAATGGTTATCATTTAACTCATTTGGGACGATTAATATTACTGAGTGTTGATTATGAAAATAATAGATAATGTTGAAAATAAATGTAAATTAAAGGTATCATAAGAATAACTTTAGCAAGGTAATGAAGCTTTGAAAAATCTTATACTTTTTTTGCCATATATAAGTTTACAGAATTTTAAAATACCAATATTTTTTATACTTAGGAACTCATATTGTTTTTTTTAATGGTAACATATCCTTCTGCAGATAAATAAATTCAGTACATGTTGGTCCGCCGGCTACAATAAATATTGTCTCAATTAATTTTTTATTGACTTGTTACGAGCCTTTTTAGGTTTGTGGTTGCTCTTTTTATAACCATCGACACCGACTTGTGACTGAATCTTTTGTTTTTGCTAAATTCTTCTTTAATGATGGCAACAAAAACTTTTTAATTGAGGAACATTTTCGTCATTTTTTGCTCTCGAAGTAACTTAATTGAGGTTCGCTCGCCTCAATAAATTATTTTATACAGGTTGTTGGATATTCCGGTTAATTATAAAGAGACGAACGAGTTGGTAGTATGACGGAATATGCCAAATGGATATAATGTTTTCAGTATGAATTAACATTTCATATTATTTTCCACTTTTCCTTGATTGGTATTTACATATAATTGCTGAAAGTGTTTATACGTTTTAAATAATTTGTAGATTAATTTGTAATTATCAAAATCAAATTATATTTTTTTGTACCTACCTATGCTTTATTATTATAATACAATTATCAATATATTTATTCAATAATTATAATTAACCTTTTGTCTTTAATACAATTATGGTAGATATTATAGGAAACAAATATCTTATAAATGTGATTAGAAATAATAAACCTAATTTCTTTAAATGTTTGATAAATTGTGTTAACAGAATTTTTGGTATACATACAGTATACCAAAAAAGTATTCGTACACTCGTATTATAATCATTATACGTGTAATTACCCGTTTAATAAATATACAAATGAAAAAACAATTAACAGGCAGATTTGGCTCCATCCGATCCAAAAATGTTATACTTACTCTCATCTGACAATATAACCTGGTTCCAGAACTCTAAACGTTTATTAATGTAACGCTTAGCAAACTCCACTCTTAGCTTTCGATTTTTCTTATTTATCCTTGGCTTTTAGCAGGTCTTCTTCCTCTATATTCTAATCGCTTAATGTGGTATCGAAGAGTTTCCGGATGGATCTTATGCCATGTACTGGATTTCAGTTCAGAAACAATGTATGGAGCACTTACAAAGGGAATTTTTTTAACTTTTTGATAAATGAAATTCTGATCTCGTTGAGTTAACTTGGCAGTACCTCCCGATCTTGACTTATTTTCCACGGAACCAGTAGATTTATATTTTTTCACAATGTACTGAACTGTAATATGTGTTTTTTGAACAATTTTACCTATCTCCTTATATTATTTTCCTTCTATAAAATGATGGATGATGACTTTTTTAAGTCACCATCTATTTCTTCAGTTTTTCTAGGCATTTTAAGGTAAACTTGAATTATTTTGAAAACAGAACTAGGAGCTCAACCTAATACTAATATACCGGCGAAAACAATAAACAATTTAATATCTACAGAGTGAAGAAATTGATAAAACGTTGCTGTACGAATACTTATTTTGGGGATAAAGCAAACATTTTTCGTTTTTTTTTATTTTACATTTTTAATAACAATGTTAATTAATGATTGCAAGAATAGTCTTGAAATGTAGATTTTAATTTGCTAGTTACTTCTTGTTTCTGTTTACTGAACGCGGACTTCCAGAACATAATGCAACTGTACGAATACTTTTTTGGTCTACTGTAAATAGGTGTAAAGAAAATGCGGGCTTATCAGGTCATTGTTACTTTTTACGAGTTTCTTCGAATCAAATCAATAAAATTTTATGCAAATTTATTGAAATAGTTTAATAAATATTCACACTAATTATGCTAATAAATTCGTTATTAAAAAAAAACCCGGTGTTAATATTTATTTTTGATTTTACTCGAAACATTTAAATAGGTAGTTATTTTATTATTTAATATCTTATTACTTGATATTAACAGATATTTGTATTAGTTGATATTGAGTATTTACTTGATGGATAGGCGGGCTTTATCTATTAACTTACCTACTCCATTTGGATTCGGAATTGAATGAAACAATCGATCGACTTTTACCTGTGATCACTATCAGGGTATCGGCCACGCGCCTGAAAGATTTATCGAGCCAATTTGGCAAGGACCCCGGCACGGAATGTGTGTCCGGCCTAAGAGGACCACGAACCGGCGCCCAACGAAATACACAGACATGTACTGTGCATTTTATTGCGGATTTACTGTCTCCTTTACGAAGAAAACACTTAAAACTTAATCGACAACACCGGTCAGGTTATTTAAAACAAAAATATATATTTTCGACGTCGCCGTTATTTCGACAAAGTATTGATCGGTAGGTTGATGGTTAATGAGAATTCATGGATTTTGATTATTGTTTTAGAATAATTTTAATAATAAATAGACACTATATTTGCCTAAACATACTATAGGCTGGTAATAGTAGTAATTAACATATCAGAGATGATATTGTTGAATTAAAAGTTAGTTTCAATCTATAAAAATAGTGACTTTTTAAATCGTTAGGACAGCAGTTTTTTACTTATACATATACGCATGTCAAATTAGCCCGTTATTTATAGACATTTTATTAAGTAGATGCGGACACCAACATAGATTTATCGTCATAATAAAAACAGAAACACGAAAATTTATACTAAAATTATAAATTGCAATAATTCAACTTTAATAAAATATGTATTAAGCCAAGCATCTATAACTTATAGGTAACATGCTATTTAATGTTATAATAGCAGATGTTATTCAATGAGCATGTAATTTATAGCCATTATTTAAAAAACTTTGGCAGTGCAAGTGTAATAATAATATAAACGTGTGCTCAATTTATTGGGGGTACAAATTGTTAATTATATTGCCATCCTTATAAAATATAATAAAGGGTTATATAGAAAGGATTATACAACATTCAAAGTGCCAACGACACGAAGTTTTTTCAGAGTTTTTTCACTAGCATATAGAGCATTTAGTAGAATCTGATGTCTATATCGTGGGCTCACAAGCAAAGGGCACTTAGTCAAAAAAAAATGGTTTTGAGATATTGCTGATATTAACTAATTAAAATAATAATAATTGTTAATTTTTGTAATCATTATATATTTCGAAAAAGTGATTGCGAATTGAAATTATATATTTGGTCGTATTTTTGTATATATTAGATAGGGCCATTTGCGCCAATATTATTTGCCCATTAGGGCCAATAATTTAAAAAACCGTTTCTATAAAAAAAATGACTTAGCTTGATGCCTAATGCCTTTTGCTTGCAAGCCTACGATATACGGATGTATTATTGGCGGTTATAACATTGACCGACGGCCGGCAAATAAAATATTATCAATGCAACCATTGGGCACTTCCAACAAGAGGTGCTTAGTAGTATTCTCCTATTTTAAACTCACTGATTTAAAATGCAATGGAGAACAAAAATTGGTTTCATAGTTACCTGGATACTACTTACCTACATATGTATTATGAAGGTACAAAACGGTTCATATACAGAATTAATTATTAATATAAAAGCTATAGGCTTAATTGTATTTTGTTATTTCCAGAAATTAACTTTAAGTTAATTTGGCAATTTAATTTAAGGTAAGTAAATTTAGAAATCCATTTTTGTATATACACTTAAATAAATGTCCATTTTACCTACTTTCTACAGAATTTCCAAATATAATTTTGTTTTTGTCTCTATAACGACAGAAAGGATTTTTGCCATTGTTTACCTATCTAATTCTCTTTAGATAATATAACTAATTATTTATATCAACAAAGCAATACAATAAACAAACTCTTGTCCACTTACCCCGTTAATACAATTCCTTATCAAACACTTCAACACTTATACAAAAAAATATACAGTTATTAACCGGTGTCACATAAACAGTTGCAAATAGAGATAAACTACTTGTCATCAGAATGTCACTTAATTGTTTGTAAAAGAAATAATGCTTATTAAACTGGTGTGGTGAAGAGGTTAATGAAACTCACAGAAAGCATCGATCTCAGCAGAGCTTTCAACGCCAGACCAAGACTTACTGAAGAGGTTTGTGACTTTGATGAGCTTTCGCCACGCCTTGGCTCAGTGGGGGGAACTCGCCTCCCAAAACTACAGTTTCTTATCTTATTACCATAAATTTGTGCTAGATTTAAGATATTCTGAATTATACAGGTCTCTTTCTAGTGATGTGCATATTCTTCGGACTATACGTACCTACATTCTTGAAGCTCTTTTCAAATTACCTACACTCGTGTATTTTTTTATCTTCATCAAACATACCTGTAATGCGCATTTAAATTAAGATTTGGAAATTAGGAAATTGGAATTTTTATATATTTTATATATATTTTTATATTTCTTTATAAGGATACTAGAAACCTATTGAAATAATTTAAATAATTTTTCAACACCGCTGTTCTTCAATTTATGGTGTATTTTTTTTATTTTTTTTTTATTAATTATTAAGTTGTAGGTGCTTGTAGGTGTGTATACAGGGTGTCCCTAAACGGTTGAGACATGACTTAACTATATACCTACAGACTTCCGGGACGAAAATAAGATGATTTAATCGAACGTACCTATATCCAAAAGTGCTTACCAAAGAAGTTACAATGTGTTAAAGTTACAAGTAAAAAAGAGATTATTTGATATTGGTCCAGAACGGCTAAAGATTTTTTCTTCAAAATTTGTATTTAGTGACTTATTATTATGTGATAATAAAAAAAAACAATCCTTTTCTCAGATATAACTGGAGAGTCCAACGCCCTTAATGCCCTAATTTTCGCCCATGGTATTTACCTAATTTTTAAATCGAAACTAGATTTATCGTTTTTTGTATAATGATTTTTTACCCCTTGTAATTTTCCATAAAACCTATATTTTTGGAGAAAAATCTCTATTTTTATCACTTAAAAATTTATTATATAAAAGATATATAAATTATTTTTATTTTTATTTTTTTATTTTTTATTTTTAAATTATAAATTATTTTTATATATCTTTTATTATATAAAAGATTTATACCTGAAAATTTTCCAAAATATATGGGGATTTAAAAATCGCATAATTGTGATTTATCTCCACAAAAATGAGAATTTTACAGAAAATTACAGAGTAATAAAACAATATTAATATACCGGTAAATCCAAAAATTATGTAGGTACCTAAATACCACCGGCGGAAGAATTAGGGCTTTAAGGAAGTTGCCTCCGAAGTAACCCACCGTTAAATCAGAGATAGAATGTCGATAATTAAAAAAAAAACACGCACGATCACTAAACAAAGAAATTCCGTACAAATTTTCATGAAAAGCCGTCGGCCATTATGCGGTCAATATCAAAAAATCTCTTTTTCATTTTCAACTTTAACCCTCTTTAACTTCTTTGCTATGCTGCCACTTTTGGATGTAGGTAAGTTAGGAATACATCTTATTTTTGTCTCAGAAGTATGCAGTTTAGCCATGTCCCAACCTTTTAGATGCATCCTCGAAATCCACGCATTATTTTAGAGTGCATTTGTCTAAAAACTTTTTTTCATAAATGCATACTTTTTGAGTTACTATTTTTTTTTTTGAAAAATTTGACCGATGCAGACCCTTATAAATTATTTTTTACAAGGTCAAAAAGCAGGGTCAAGGCAAGTCAAAGCAAGGTCAAACGTATTTGAACCTGTATTAAAAAACTTTTTATTTTATACAGGGTGTGTAAAAAAATTGTACAAAGTTGAACTTCATAAAAATACCAAATTTCTTCATTTTTTTTTAAATGGAACCAACCACCTTTTTTTCTATTGTATTGAAAATAGCGGTAAAAAATAGGAGAAGTTCATCTTTACTTCCCTAATATACCTAAACCTAATAATTTTGAAGATATTAAAAATTTTACTTAATTTAACACTTACTTTTCTGCCTTATTCAATAATTCATTTTACAAGTTGACTATGTAAATTGTTTGAGAATATTTTATTATTAATTTTGGTTCTTGTGAGATATTACATGGCCAACTTGTAAAAATGGATTATATAAAATACGGCAGAAAAGTAAGTGTTAAGTAAAATTTTTAATATCTTCAAAATTATTAGATTTAGGTATAGGGAAGTAAACATGAACTTTCCTTATTTTTACCGCAAATTTCAATACAATAAAAAATGGGTGGTTCCATTTAAAAAAATGAAGAAATTTGGTATTTTTGAAGTTCAACTTTTCACACTTTATGCACCCTGTATGCAATTAGGAGTTTTTCAACACAGGTTCAAATACCTTTGACCTTTCTATTAGCCACCCTACAGAAACCGTTTCCATATCTTTAAAGTCTTCCCTGTAAAAAATGGGCCTGGGTAATTAAGGGTCTGCATCCGTAAAATTTTTCAAAAAAATTAGTAACTCAAAAAGTATGCATTTTTGAAAAAAGTGTTTTAGACAAAAGTACCCTAAAATTTTACGTACATTTCGAAAATATATTAATATACAGGGTGTTCCATTTGAAATAACAAGTTGCCTACTTTCGGTTTATCTGGAAATAAGGAAAAGTTGAAAATATTTTCATTGAATAGAGCGAATCGACTAACATTGTAGACAAATTTTCAAACTTTATTTGCCACTACTTTTTCAGATACTTCTAAATAAGCCATCCTCGTGACACACACTGATGTATACCTATTTGTTCTTCTGTTGACTGTTAATTAGTAATACAGTGTAACTAATTAAGTATACCAACCAGTAATTCTTACATGTAGTAGGTATACATAATTTAGTAATACATGTAGGTATACGTACCTATAATATGTAACTAATAAGTAATTCTATAGTGGTATTAAATGAGTTGTTTCATCCAATGTATTTCCGAAAGAAAATTTGTCCTTTACGTTTAGACGTATTGTAGACAGAAAGTAGACCTATACCTATGCTCGAACTCACCCTATAACGAGAAAAAACTAGACAACGTCTACATTTCTAAACTTATCAGCTGCTACTAATTGATCCATAAGGGCCATACACAAGGAAATGCACTTTTTAATAGATTAGGTCGCCTACGATCAAAGTAGATATAAGTGATTCTCGTCTAGCAGGCGCCATTATTTTTTGTCCTCCTGATTTTATGTAAAAAATAAAAAAAAAATCTATTTTATAGGTAAATTAAATGTATTAATGATTCCTAAATGAGGAATTGGTTGTTTTTAAAAATAAAAGATTTAGACTTGAAAATAATTAAATGAGTGGGTTAAATCAATATCTATTATCAATAGAATTATGTAATAATTATAGATTATTACATAAAAATATCCTTTCTATCTTATAGGTACTGTTAACCACAATTGGTTAAAAAATGCAAATCTCGTAAACTAATTTATGGTTTACATCGTTAATGGACTTAAAAGCAAAAGGCATCACTAAGTCAAATTTTTGCAGGCATATTTTTATCAATTATCTGCAAATGGTACCTATACCTATAAATACAACCAATAATAATTAAATATTATTATTAATTAGTTAATTTCGGAAATATCTCAAAACCACGTTTTATGACTAAGTGCCCTTTTTGCTTGTAAGTCCACGATATATTTAAAGGACAATTAGAACTATTTACAATATTTGGTTGTGGGTATCATGATTATCATAAAATAATTGGGAATGATAATAACAAATATGATACTGTATGCACAAGATTAATCTAACAAAATGTTAGTTTATTATAGGTATACTAAACTTGTTATGGGATCGGCTATTTCCACTAAATAATAGGTATGCCTATACCAACTTAATTTCAAGAATCTCTGTAATTACTTGCTTCGTTAATAACGTGAAGAGACATTTTTAAATCAGCCTTAATGCAATAGGTATTTTATTCGTGCACGGTAAACCGAAGTCGTGGCGCCAACGTTCCTGCTCGCACTTAGACCGTAAAAGCTCTATAAATAAAGCCTTTCTCACAATAAAAAGCGACCCATCAAACACAACGACCACACGTCCTCCTTCTACGTGCCTTCGAACGTTAATCCTTTCGCGACGATTGTCCAGATTGGTCGCTTTTGGAATTTTAACCACGCCTTTAAAAACCATAAAATTTGTGTATTTTTGGACCAGTGTATACTAATTTAGTCCGGTCGATTTAATCGATAAATTGATGGATATTACTGTTGTGATTGGAATTCGAGTTTTTGAAGATTCCATAAAATTCTATATACCTCTACATAACATTTTTTTCCATTCGGATATAAAGTAGTGTATATACAGAGTGTTCAGCATAAAGTTCTTCAGCATAAACTATCCCTATATAACATATTTGATGCTAACAAGTAAATAAAAAACATTCATGCATCAAAACAAGTCCATTTTAGAAGCATTTTCTAAATATTTTTTTTTAATCCTGAAGTATTTATAAATGCGAATTATAAATATAGTTAAGTATAAAATACCTCTTTCGTGTTATAAAATTTTAATTTTCATATTATATACCATGCGCTACCAAAAAGATCGTTTATAATAGCCCACGGTCGAACATCAGATCATCTATTCAGCCGATAAGATGGACGCAGACCGTAGAATAAAAATCAAAAGACGTTTCGATAGCAAGTTGTAAGTGCATTTTCTTGCTGCGTTCGGTTCCTGGAAACGCGAACCAGCCGCGGTTTGCTCTCTTCTTCTATATAATACCGTCAAGCCTTTGTGAAGATTTATTTATTGCATGGCCTGCGAAACGCTAACGAATGCGATAAACTTTGTTCATATTTCGCATATTTATGTCGATGTAAATTCTGCAGGTAGCCTTAAATTAAACGGTAGGGAACATTTCTTAAATACTTTTTATTCATTAGACTATATTACTTATATACTTCTACCTACTCCTTAATGATTATTTCAGCATTTATAATTGTTTATGACAATAATACATCGAAGAAAATAGTTCTTTTATTAATCTCGATCTTTTTGGTCAATAATGTATAGGTATTTCAAATGGCTTAATATTAAACGAAAAACAATAAATTGCGTAAAGCCTTTATTGAGTAAACAAACCTTTATTACTAGTTTTAGACTAGAAACATTCTTAATTAATAACAATAGGCATTTTAAAAGTAAACTCTATACACTAAAAATAGTAATCTGTTTTAAACAGAGTATAGCCATCAATGCAATTATAATAAATACAAATTAAAAGCCAATCTACATTCAATTACACAATTTTTTTTAAAAAATCCATAAAAACATCACAGCCGGTTTTTTATTCTCGTAGATTATACTTAATTAGCAACATTTAACCCTTAAATACTGTGACGTGTCGCCCCACAGATTATATACTCATGATATAATTTTTGGTGGCTGTTTATAATCATCATACAATAAATCAGTTATTAAAATTATACTGTGTTATATTTTAATCATTATAATAATTTGTACTTCACAACTATCCATTATGTTTATGTAACAACATTTCGTAGTACAATATTATTTCACTTTTTGCAAAAAAATCAAAATAATAAACGTAGTCCCACAGACGACACGTCAGTGATTATGTCGTAAAACTGGTACGTCAGTACTTAAGGGTTAAAACCTTTACTTAGGTAATTTTCCTAATTATAAGGTAGTGAAGATTTTGAGTTTAATATGTTAGCTTCTCTTTGTTCATATAAACTGCTCCACAAAAGTTAAGGAAGTTCGCAAATTTTGCAATTATTTTAAAAGTTAGAGACTTTTTGATCACCAAATTTTCAAATATGCGAAATTAAATGTTTTCTCTCATATCTGAGTGGATTTTTTTGTCCCTACCTCTACAACTCATAGTAAATTTGGCGATCAAAAAACCTGCAACTTTTAAATTAATCTCAATTTTTGTGAGCTTCCTTAACTTTTGTGGAGCAGTATATTAACTACATGAACAAATTCAGAGTAGCACAGCATAGCATACTCAATTTCTAATCCCACAACCTAATCCTTTTTAAACAAAAACGAGTCAAATACATCATCTAATCGCATTATTTAAAAAAAAATGCGAACAAAATGAACCAAAATATAAACAAATTTTAACTGTGTCTATAATTTTATAATATTAATCCCTGATGATTTCACTAAATAAAACTTTCATATTTCCTGTACTATATTTTTCTATAAATAAATGCTCTGTTCACAATTATTTAGGGTTAGCTAATTGAAAAAAAATGGATTTAAAAACATTATTTCACAATATTCTATACCTGAGAAACTGAATTAATAATTGGGATAATTCAATACAATTTATTTGATAAAGCTCTTAAATTTTAGAAGTTTGAAGAGCTGAAACGTTTTGAAATCCATTAATAAAACAGTTTTTTCCTGTAGGCTAATTTTTCCTATCATGCTTTAAGCTTACCAAATAATTTTATGTCAAGTAATAAATGGTATAAGAACAATAATTTAATGAGTGACCAATTTAGTTTAAGTAGGTATATTAGAGGTTCTATCAAAAACATCTATCAACTGTCTATCAACGTCAAAAAATCAAAAATCGAATGGCAGGTTATACAATGTCTTATTTTTCACTGAAAAATTAATTTTCAAGAGTTGCTTATTTTTCACATTTGTGGAAAAATATTGAAAGTAAGGTGGAACCTGTTTATTGCCCACTAAAATGAATTAATAACATAAGTTTACTGAATTCAGTGTTCATTGCAAATGAAATATACGCTGTGTCCCGAATAAGGACGAACACCATGGTAACCATGGAAAATATAAAAAATACCGGCAAAGGTTAAATAGGGATAAGTTGAGCAATTTGGAGACTATAAAACTAGTATAAAAATAATTTTATATTCATTTATCGTTTTTGAGTTTTTGGAAAAAAGTTAATTATAGTTTACTTATATTATAAATTATTATTGTAATTAATATGCGCTCTTACAGCTTCCAAGATCCTCACCTATCCGGAAAACAGTGTATATAGAGAGATTTATTAGATTATTTTCAACGCAGACTTTTTCATCGAATCCTCGATTTAATATAATAAGGTGCTTATAATACTTTAGGGGGTAATTTATGTTTTTCCAGAAAATCTGCGATTTTAAGGCTGATTTCTCACTTACCTATACAATTAGTTTCGATATACATATTCTGTTTTGTCTTTTACCTTGCTTATATGTGATTAAAACCACACAAATACTGAGTGACAAAAGTAAAAGAACACCAAGAAGCAAATTTTATTTTTCATTCAAACTGTAGAGTGTGTACAGCACCACGGTGGTGCAACACATTATTAATTTTTTTTTAAGTTTTGTTGTTAATTTGATGAATTAATTTTAATCATTTGTTTATTTTTCTCTTATAAATGTAACTAGAATAAATGGTTAAATTTCATCAACTATTTGTTGGTGTTCTTTTACTTTTTCGCTCAGTATATATACTTTAAATCATTTTCACTTAAACAAATAAAAGTTAAAATAAAATAAATTATAAATAGAGCGCCTGGACTAAATTAAGATTGCATAGAAGGATTGCTTCCTTCGTCCTCTTCTACATTTGTCCTAAACCTAGCCTGTTGTGAAGTCGATGTAATGACGCTTGCCTGTTCATCATCGTGAGTAATTATTGGCTGCAGTGGTTGTGCACTGAAAAAATAATATTAATTATTATTTATTATGATTTATGAACTATGTAAATATACTTTCCGGGTGGATCGGCAAAATGTAGCTTTTAAGTTTTAAAATATGCCGTAATAGAAAGCGTATAGGCAGCACAAAATACAGTTCAATATTTGTGGTTGCGTAATTATAAGGCACATTAACTTTTAAGTATAAAGCATTTTTTGTCCCTACTTTTGATACTACTAAAAATTTTAAATTATTAACTTGGAACTCTAATAACTAGATAATTTCATACAGTATGACAATTTAAAAGCTTGCAATGGCTATATCTCCCAAACGAAAGTTGATATCAAAAAATGCTTAAAGCTATTCTAGGATATGAAGGGGAAACTAAAAAGACTTAAAAAAAGTAATTTAAATAGCAACTTCCAACTTGTAAAACATCATTAAAAAGCCTATTAAAATGCTATCCATCAATGGTATAAATTAAAATTTTACAGGGTGATTAAATTATTGTGAAATCTTGCTTTAAAAGCAAAATTTAATGAAGTTTGAAAACACCATCGAACCTTTACTTGTGCATGAATAATTAGAGAACCGAAGGGACGACCAAGGCATCTAGCTGTAGACGAAGATTTGCTGCTCTTCTAACCATACCAAATTGTGTAACTTTACCTTAAAAGTAAAAATTAATTATTTCAGGTAACCCCATAGAAAAAAATTCAGGTGTCGTTAAGTCTGGTGATCTCGGTGGCCACACAATAGCACCTCTCCTTTCAATCCATTTGTTTGAATAATTAGTATCCAACCAGTGCCTAACTGCAACTGAATAGCTTTTTTATGTCATTTTAGTTCCCCCTTCATATCGTAGAAACGATTTTAGGCATTTTTGATATCATCTTTCGCTTTAAAGATATTATCATTATAAGTTTTTAAATTGTCATACTGTACACGCACTAAATATTAAAAATACCTATCAAATATTTGATACGTATCTATATTTTGTACCAATGTTATTGTTCATAATTGTATTTTAGAGATTTAATTAAGTTGATTCACATACCAACTTACTTTAATGTTCCAATATTTTCGGTTCCGTAATGTCGATAAGAAACTTGTGGTCTTTGAGAATAAAGGTTCACTGGTAATTGGTATTGATCTTGCTGTACATCCATGTCTGAATATTGATAAGTGGGAAGCCCTGCAATTTTAATAACATTTAATAGAAATTTAGTGAATCAATTAGATACCTATTTTTTAAGCGTGCTTTAAATTTTTGAAATTTTGGTTGAGATATCGATCTCTTTGTTTTGGTTTGTTAGAAACGAACATTAACGGCCGACAATATTACAATTAATTCCAAGAGTCAATGTACAAATAACCCGTTGTTATTTATTGCAGAATGTACAAACACATAAGGTAGTTAATCTTTATACAGCTATTTTGGGAGCTTAAAATTTTGATTTCAAGAATTTTTAATTCCGGCATCAAAGAACAAACGATTTCAAAAGATATTTAATTAAATGATTATTTCTCATTTATACAGGAATCTATATTTTTTGGCTTTCTCTATATAAACTGCTCCACAAAAGTTAAGGAAGTTCGCAAATTTTGCGATTATTTTAAAAGTTACAGACTTTTTGATCACCAAATTTTTAAATATGCGAAATTAAACGTTTTCTCTCATATCTGAGTGGATTTTTTGCCCCTACCTCTACAACTCATACTAAATTTGGTGATCAAAAAACCTGTACTTTTAAATTAATCTCAATATTTGTGAACTTCCTTAACTTTTGTGGAGCAGTATATTTTCTCTTTAATATTGGACTCATGGGCAAAATGAATAAATGCATATAGAAACATTATTTACATAGTTTCGATAAACGCTACATATAACTGCTTATGCCCATGTTTATTTTCGAATGTCATCTCCCTTTATCACATATCATTTATTTACAAAGTACTTTAATTTTATCTCCACGTATAAACGTAGAAACGTCATGACATCTACTTTTATAACTAAATGGTACACATTAATAAGACTCCTTTTAGTGACATTAATATTTCGCAACATAATCCGTAATCCCTGGATTTATTTGTTAAATGAAGTGTATTTGCCTGCAGTACACGTAACTCTTACAAAATCGCACTAGTAACTAATTTTATATATTTATTTTTGGGTTCACCTAACATATATTTTAAATAATTATTATGCATAATACGATAATATGTAGGTGTTTAAGCTGCCTGTCACTTGCCAAAAAAATAGAAAAATAATAACATTAAATCAAAAAAGAAATGAACTCACCCATTCTTACTTGACCTGCAGCACTCGCAGGGCTTCCGACCGAAGAGTTTTTTGGCCTTCTTTTGCGCGTTTGGATACCTTCCTTTTTCATACTGATCGGCCTGTTAACCTGCGGAGATAAATATATTTTGTAGATAATCTTCATGAATGAAAATTATCTTCAAACATTACGTAGCCAGATAGTGTATCTTATATTTACAAGAGATTTTTGTTATTATTAGTATAACTTTATATCAAAAAAGATAATTTTCGTATCAACCCCGGATAAACTGATATATTTAGTGGTCGAGATATCTTGTTATATCTGTCTATTATTTTTAGGCTACTGGATAATTAAGATAAGTCACTGTTTGGGTTTTTAGATAGGAAATGCATCGATAGTATCCGAATGTTCTTAACCGGTTTCTGTTGGAGCAAATCTATTGTAATTTCTTCTCTTTATCCATTCGAGTTCAACACTCCATATTATTAGTAGGTTCATATTTTTTAAACCTAACTTTATTAACAACTCCAAAAATCTGCACATACTTACATTATGTAATTTATAGTAAAGCCCGCAAGCGTTACAAACTGGCTCGCCTTGGTTGTTTCTTCTCCAAAGTGTTGTATTGTTAGTTTTGCAATTTGCACACGTTACGCCGTTTCTTCTATTTCCAGTCTAAAATAGAAATAGAAGAAAATAAATGGAGTCAAAGATGCTAGTAAATTAGTATAAAAATGGTTATTTGTGGTACGCTAGCGCAACGGGGAGCCAAATATTTATTCTAAACAATAAGCGTTTAGAGCGGACGATACCAAATAATGTCTATAAAATTATACATAACGGATTGTATGATTTAGTAACAAAATTATTTAGATACTGATTGGTTATTGTAATTTGCAACTTTTTTATATGCTTTTCCAATTTTTTATGGAAATTCTGAAAAAAGCGAAAAATTTAAAATTGTAGTTCTAAAAGATTTAAACATCAGCATCATAAAAATTACAATTTAAAAGTTAATGAAATTGGTGATTTTCCTGTTCGAATATCTATCTACTCTAAAACGCGAGTAACTAAATATAAATTTTTAAAAAATCATCTCATTTATACCAAAAAGTATCAAGCATTATTTACTTATAAATATTTATTTTCTCTAATGTTTCGAAATTTCGATCAAAATGCTTAACCAAAAGCACATTTTTCTGTTAAGACGCCTTTAAAAAAGCGATAAAATCATGCATGATCTCTCACAGAACATGCTTGAATGTGAATCGTTATCGCTTTTACTTGGCCCCATTTGGAATTGTTTGCACAGTGATATCATTCGTAAGTACCTATCGAGTTGAAATATAACCATTTTTTTTGTTACAATTTCTCAGCAAATACAGATAAAATCGATTTGGATTAATGCGCCTTCGCATGTATTCAAATTCGGGGAGATTACAAAATTTCCGTTAAAAATAATTCGATGTCCTCGATGGTTTTTTTCCAAAAATCCAAAGTTTATTGAATTATTGTTAGGTTTAAAAATTGCACTCATACAGAGGAAAATAGAAATTTAATGAAACAAATTTGATTCTGGCAGAATTTGGAAAAATATACCTACAAACTAAAACATAAAAACTAAAGTGTGAAATGCGTTAAAAGTTATTTAGATAATTAGAAAAAATCTTGAGGAGCTTATAGATGTTAATGTTAAAAACAGGAAACAACACTTATTTAAACAATGTAAATGGAATATTCAAATATTCATATGATTAAGAATGTGGTTAAATAAATAGTTGGATCTTTTAAAGTAGACGAATTACTAAAATAATTTATAAATTTATAAAGTTCAACAATTTTATCCTATTCAAGAAAATTTATGTAACAAAACTACTTGAGGTAGGTACCTACTAGATAATCAAAATTTCAAACTTTAACTTTGATCTTATTCATTCGATATATATTTGGATAAGGGGTTTGGAATTTATTGGAATGTCAAAAAATAGGTGAATTCCAAATTTGCAAACTTACCGCCTGTGGTTTTTTGGTTGGCTTAGTCGGCGGTCTGTGCACCCCATTAATTTTGTGGTACAAACCACACGCGTTACATAGATAATGCCCCGTACCGTCTCTACGCCAAAGTGGTGTAACGCTAGCACCACAATTAACGCACTCTTTCACTAGTACCTCTTGACTAGATTGCCGTCCGTCCTCCATCGAATTCGACGACCAGGTCGCGTTTATGTAAGGAGTTCCGAAAGCTTGGGTCGAATCAGCTTGAAGGACGTTTATGGTCCCTGATGGGTATTGTTGTGGGTAAGAACCGCTGCTGGTCGGCGTCCAGTTAGATGTTGATGTATAGTAGGTTTCTCCGGAAGCGGGAAGAAGGTTCACTTGCGATTGAGTACTGGATATGTCGTAATTTGCCTGATGAAGCAAGTTATTCGTTAGTTTACTTATGTTAAGTAAGTACAAATTGATCCACTTAGAACCAGTTCTATCACTTCTGGTCAAAAATGAATCTGTGATAGAACCAGTGATAGAACATATAGTAGACTTGGTTCTTACTTGGAATCTAGAAGCTCCCAAATTCGGATCATCGCCACGGTATAGAACTGTAGCAGAAGGAGAATTATCAACAGTACTTCTCTCTATATACATGTTCTGGTACTGATGATTGGTTAAATATTGTGTGCCATCCGTATAGCCGTTGTTGTATTGGGCAGTTTGTAGATTGGCATAGTCCCCAGGATGTTCCATTTCCGATATTGTAACGGGCACAACAGTTCCTTCTATGTTCACGTAACTAATGTCCTGCGTAAAGCTCGGATTAGGAAAATTCTCGGCGGGCATTTCTACGGCGTAAGATTTAGCGTCAGCGAATTGCTCTCTTTGCTCCTGCGGCAGGACCTCAGCCGTATAGACTATTTCTGCGGGTTCGGTTTTCTGTTCGGCCGGGCTTGGATTTGACGATGTCGTTTTGACTACTTCTTCTGTCGTTGGTTCTGGTGGTTGCTCTTCGTTGGTTTCCACTATTGTTCCGGCCGGAGTGATGAAGTTTCTTCGGATCACGCCGGTTGCGGTCGCTTGAGCTGGAGGAGCCTCAGGCTCGGATGCTTCTGTTTTCAGTTTCACGTTTTCCGGTGATGCTTGCTTCTCTTCTTTCGAGTCCATATTACTGCAATTGAAATGATTAAAAATATATAGGCAATCTAATGAATTGATGCAGCTAAATAATAAGGATCTTTCCTTATACCAAATAGAAACTTATTAGATACAGACATTAGGTATTTGATTACTCATCTATGGGGTATTATGTTATATTGGGTTTTTACGTTAACTTTTACTGAAAAATAAAGCACATTTCACGTATAATAATTATTTACAGGAAAACAAATTCAAACAAAAAAAATACCAATATTACTTTGTTTAATTTGTGACTAAGTTATGACGCCAATAATACATCAAACCCTTTTTCCGTAAAATGACGCATTCATTGAGATTTATGTATTAATTTATGTCCTGCCTTCATTTCACTATACTAAGAATCCTGTGATTTTTATTTCAATACTTACAAATTTTTAGAGCGCTTATACTTTTGGTTTGAAATTAATAATGTACAAATTAAAAAATAGTCAATATACCTACTTATAATTGCTTAATTACAGTAGGTAGAGAGTAAATAAATAAATGTGGTTTAAAATATAGCACCTACTCAGATAATAAAATCATTATGGTTCAGGCGGATTACCTAGATAATGAAAAATAACTAAAATAAATAGAATTAATATTTCAATATATTAGGATCATACCTTACAATTTTAAATGATCCAATTTTGCGCACAACTTTCGCCAGTTGAAATCGTCAAATGACAACATTTTTTGTAACTCCATTCACTCTTAACAAATACCAATCGTATACTAAACTACCAAACTTGGAAACGGCGAAATAGTACCGAGGAAATGAACATTACAGAATAAACAATAATACCTCATCTCACTTTTTCCTTGCGTAGTATTTCCTGATTTTGAGACATAGGATTTAGAATTGGTAAGACGAGGATAATAGTTTTGTTAGAAAAATTGTTTTAGTCCGGTCCATAAACGTACGAGTAGTTATTTTTTTACTAATAATCCTCAAAGTATTAATCAACGTCCTCTTCTAATATATTTCAATTTTCATTTTTCATGTAGTCATTGATTGTCGTATTAAAAAGATTTATTGATTTTTGAAGTTTTAAGAAAAATATAGTTTAAGTTACTATATTTGAGTTCGGAAATTATCATAAATCAGTTGCGACCTGAGCGATTTTCCTTAGGATTTTTTAAAAATACCATCAAATTTAGTTAGTTCTGCATTCATTTGCTAAAAATGTTCAGTACGCTCATGGAAATATATTGAATCGGAAGGTACGAGAAAAGTGTATTTGAACATCGTTTCCGTTTCCCATTCGCGTGGCGTTATGGTTTACCTATTTTTTAGAAAGACGATGTTCAACTGCGCCCAAAGCTCAAATAAATGACGCGACTTTGAATAACGGACTAGTTTCAATTATCTAATATTTTATGTGTATTTAAACTAAAGACTGGATGCTGCTAACAACTGATCATTATTTGTTAAGTTCGCGCCGAATTTTAATCGAAGATAACAATATAGAGTATTAATTAGAGCATTAGAGTATTAATTTCACTTAATAAATGCCTTTAAAACATTCAAACTGAGTACAAAAATTGTTTATTACTAAAATATTATCTAAAGCTTAAAAAATTCGATTTTGTTCTTAGATACGACATATGAACATGAGATATGACAATTTTTATTAAAATCCTTGATTTCTCTATAATCATGAAAGATCCTAATTTATTAATGATTATTATATTTAAACATGTTTCACTATTGTCATTTTCAATTTGTTTAAATAATGACTAATTTTGATGTATAGATAAGTGTACCTAATATGTTACATGGATACAAGGTATTTTTATTTATTATCTTATCAGTTGATCGAATGTGCTTTCACCAATTTATCCCGAATATATTGATGAAAATTAGTTATAAATTTTATGATATCGTCAAAGCAATTGTAGCAAACGCGTTTTATTTACCATGACTATTTAAACAGTTTGTGTAAATAGTCGGAGTTACGAAGGGTATAATGCTTTTAGCGTTTTTAAACCTCTTCAAATAAAATGGCTGTGCTATAAAATAATACACAATTTTAACCTTATTTTATATTGTTTTAATGTTTCATAATAAGAGGTACTATAAAATAATGATATTTGCAAGGCTTAGATCTTTTGTTTAGCGTCGTTGAAAATTCCTATTTCAATAGCATAAGTCAAAAACAAGAATTAGCACATTTCTTAAATTAGAATTTGTAGTTTTACATATAAATTCTTTAAAAATATTAAAAAGGTATTGAAAAAATTAGTTTAGAATGTAATTGCAATTAAACAGATAAGAGTAATTGCATAAATTTTTGCTATCTTTTTATTATATTACTAAAGTAATTAATATTATCAAATATAACCAAGAAAACAAAACTAGTAGGTAATTGAAAGATCATTATAATTTTTGAATTCGTGTAATTAGGCATCATGAAAAAGTATGGATAAAGTAGGCATGGGTAATCAGGTTATTTTGTTTTTTATAATGCTTTAGTAAGGTATTAATTTTATTTGCTAATTTAATATTAGAAAATTCGATTTAAGTGGTAGTCTTTGTTATTTGGTTAACAATTTAGCTAATTAACTAAAAATTAAATTAATACAAAAAATCTTTTTTCGGGAATCGAGATATTTGTTTCGATGTAAATAGCACATAAATGAGAGAAAAATATGTAAGACAATAAAATCAAATAATAATGTATAACATAATTTACCTTCTTTTAGTATAAACGTACTTGCATAAAAAATACAGAACCGCATCATTCGATTCTACACTATAGATCATAAAAGTCATCACTATCATCACTAATATTTTTTACAAATAACTAATACTACTTCAGACATTATAGATTGAAAATTATAGGTGGTTCAATTCAAAGTATTTCATCGTTTGGTTAATCATTTCGAAGGGAGTATATGTAAAATAAGGTTTCGGGAACATTTGCATGCCTGTAGTAGCATTGTATCTGACTTTGAAACCTGTGTATTTAACCAAAAAAATCAATTGCATCATGAGAATCAACCGTAATAAGTAATTGAATAGCTTTCAGAAATTTAAAAATATTAAAACAAAAAAGTCCTACCTATCCGTCATGTCGTTTGCAAACCAAAAACTGGTAAAGATCGAGGGTATCTCTACACTACGCTCGCGATGAACTCTATATACGTAATGATATCAATAACACATTTAGTTCTCACCTGAGATAACAGTGCGCCATCTTGCTAAACAAACAACAATATGGATACTGAGCGTACGTGATCTATCAATTTCCTTAGAATTTGGCTGCATTTTTTCAAATTTGTAAATTTTTGTGAGGAAATTCCTTATTAAATATTATGAAAATTATCTATTGTGTCCTTAACCTTTTATGTAGAGATACTATATCAGGCATAATAAAATTTATCTTGTCAACATTATAATCGCAACCCCAAAGACAAACTGTTTTTTATCAGTTCAGATATTAGAGATGCAAAATGATTATGAGATTATATAACACCATGTGTTAGAGATAAATCTCCATAAAGTTTCTTGATACGATAACTAATGTATCTATAGTTCAACTTTTCTATATACATATGCGGGTTTTAATTTAACTCATGCAACTCTGCCTGTACATAAGTAGATTTGGTCTCTGCCAGAGCCTCTGCTCTGCTCTTTGGTAAAAATGTATTAGTATACCAACCTATACTTTTCTGTTTGTAATAATGAGGAATAAAGTGATTTTTGTTGTTAATGAAAATAACTCGAAATCCAATTTGTTACTGAACGAAAATTGCTTATTATTAATATTATAATTAATATTGTTAGTACAACTTGTAGAAGAACAGTTGTAGAAGCTAATGATACAATGAATTATTATTTGGAAGAAAAAAAAATCTGTTTAATTAAGTACCTATCTTTTCTAAATTACATCCTATGGGTATGGATAATGAAATGAATGAATGGCAAATGCATAAGGATATCCATTATTCGAATATTTCGAATATTTGAAACAGATTAGATTAAAGATACATCATACATTACGTTCACATAAAAATGATAATTTGATTTCTATATCGAGGTATAATAAGAAAGAAAGAATCTAAAAACTGGAAAAGTAGACTGTATAACCAGGAATTGGCAGTTTTTCTTCTGGTATTCTTCATTTATGGGTTTCTTTTTGGTTTAACACGAGGACGTTACCCTTATCAAATGTATTTTATGCTATAGGGAAGATACCATAACAAAAAAATCCATTTATCATTTTATCTTTAACGATTTTATTTTATTTGATTATATTTTTTATAATATCTAGTTGGTATGGAAAATTTATCAGTTTTGGTAACATTTTTGACCTATTCGTTACAAGTCGATCTCTCTTTTATATATTTGGAATAGGTATTTGGTGTTTCTTAAATAAATTCTCGAAAATTCTCGAAAAATTATTGCGAATCTTTAGGAAATTGTGTCCAAGTGAGTGATAATTATAAACCAAAAGCGTTTATCTTCAAATTGGTGGATATGACTGGAAACGAATTATGTCTGGAATTATTAACATAAGAAAAAGGTAATTGTTGGAAGAAAGGTAATTGTTGGAAAAAAAAACTTGAAACAATGAATTTACTTGGGTGTGGCAGTTTTCCTGTAATCAATCAATCGATAATCGACACGTCACCACAGATAACACAAAATGGAAGCCATTTTGTGTTCGTTTCAAGCATATACAGATTATTTATTATTATATATTATAAATCGTTTTTCAACTTTTGGCTTTTGCTACTTTTTCAAATTTACAAATCAAAGTTTTCCAAAATATGTAAAAATTGGATTCTCTCGTTATTATCGATCTACCTAAACCTATACCTATACATATTTTTCCCAAAAGTGCACGAAATTGCTAGTTTTTAGATTCTTTTCTTGCTATTCGCTCTGTGTATAGACCCAATTACCATTTACATATAGAGCAAGCAGTATAATGTAGTTCTCTTTAACGTAATCTCTTTCAAAATGGGTTTTATCTGCTTTTGAGTAATCTTTCAGCAGAGATATGTAATCATGGAAATCACCATCAGTTCGATAAGTTTGAAGATTAAAATTAGTTACAAAATAAACAGGTCTTATTGCAGCTGACACAAAACTTACCAGATTTTCCAAATTGGCACAGGTAAAATCAAAAAAATGTGTCTTGACTTCGTAGTTTGAAATGCGAGCTTCAAATGCTGATAACGGGATTGTGAATACCTTCGCCCTCTGTCGGATCTAATTCGGCAATAAAATTGAGCTATTGCGCTTCATCGATGACTGCAAAAATTTGGTGATGGGCCGGTGATGTTGCATTAATTCAATGAAATTAATGCATTAATGCATTAATTCGATGAAACTCAACGAAAATTATACTCAAAATACTAGGTAGGTATGTTTCTTACTGTTCCTTCTCTATTTGTAGACTATGTAGGTACTCTAAATGTATACAATACATTAAAATGTAGATTATCTACATATAAAAGTATCTACAATTTATAATTTTTACTTTTTCTAATTTATATTTTTTTAATTTGCTTCTACAATTTATTTTCTTTCTATACTACAGGGTTCTCCGCATAAGAACAGACACAGAGCAGGCTACGGTAGAGGTAAGGCTACAAATATGTTGTTTAATCCAACTTTAACTTAATACAGCCAACTTTTGAATCATCGATGATGTTATGTAACATTGATAGTGTACATGACTTTATTTTAGAATTTTTCATAAAAACGACATCATCAAAACAAAAACAATAAAAAACTTTTAAAATGAAATACAAATAATTCTAATAATTTTAATGAATCATTCATCAGGTAAAAAAATCTGTAACATTTTAAGGAGGTATCATCCCTAATGAACCCTTTAAACTAGATCAATTGATCTCTCCTTACTATCGATTACTGCTCATAGTACGCTCATAACGTATAGGTACCAAAATAAGTTGTTTCAAGTTGAGTATTACTAAGATATTATTTTTTTTTTTGAATTTGTAACTCCTCTTTGATGGCCTGTAACTTCTCAGGAATGTAGCTTTGTATTAAATTAAGTTGGGTTAAATAATATATTTTGGACCACACGCCCCTGTTCTATGACACCCCGCGCGGTATATAATTTTTATGTAGCCAATTAAATCTTCGAATCTTCATACAGTATTGGAAATAAATTTACGCATAATAGGGAAAATCAACGTTTAAATCTTAGCCGGTATAATTGTTTTAAAAATAATCATAAACTTTTTTTTTATTTTTTAGACTATTGAAAAATCGACGAGACCATATATCGACGGAAAGCCATTGATTTTATTATTCAAAATTAAACGAAGGCGAATCAAAAATAATCTGGAAGCTCCTCGATGTGAACAGGTAGAAGAAAAACTTCCTTAAAATCAAAATGTATAATGCTAATGAATCATTAACGGAAACTGAAACATTATCCAATACAGTTTTACAGTAGGCAACACCATCTACAACTATTATCTAATCAAGTTGTTCATTAGAAAATTGAACGCGAATGAATTTCAGTATGTCGGTTCAGCAAAATTTATGCTTTTGTATTCTCAGAATGGATATGCTTGCCAAATGACCTCCTAATTCACCCTACTTGACTCAGTTTGATTTTCCTTTCTATGTATCATACCTATGCATTGGAAAAATTTAAATTCTATTATCATCACAGTCCCAGCCTGATTGATAAACAGTTAAATAAAAAAACGGCGTATTGTTTGACATATTTTACTATGAAATAATTTTAAAATATAAACATAAAAATAGATAATTGTAACAAATGTATTATTCTAAAAATATCTATGTGTTATGAAATAAAACTATACAATTAATCCAAAAGAAATTAATAATGGAATGCACTCTTGATGGAAGTGTTTCAACGATACCATACACTAGGGAAGTCGATTATAAATGCAAAAAAACGCGAATAAGATCCATTTACTAAATGGTGCAAATATTTCTTGCATAACCTAACATTGCTCATAAAAATTAAGAATGCTGAACAAGATTTAATGATTAGATAGTCACTCGGCCTAATATTGAGAATTTAGGCTATAAAGTGGTGCTATTTACTATATCAGTCAAAATATGTGAAAATTGTACGAATATAACATACCTATATTTACAAAAAAGTTGGTAACTAAAAATTAAGTCCTAGATATACAAAAATTATCTTTGGTACTTAAAGATTCTACAGTGATCTTATGATTAAAGTGCAATAATTCCTACATAATCAAGCAGGACATTTTTATATGAAATGATTTAAATATGGCAACTTAAATACCCAAACTCCCTAAAAAAGTGTAAACATGAAAAATTGGCATTTATTCTATTCTTGACATACTTCTTGATTCATTTAATAAAATTATTGACCTAAAAAATTAAATTATTTAATTAATCTGCTATTATTAAACCATTTCATATAAGCAAAATATCCTTCAATTATTAATAAACAGCACGTGTGTACAGACAAACCAAATAATAGTGACACTTTGCTCTCTTAGTGACTACTCTCTTAATTCTAACTCTTTCTTCAATTCCAAGTGCCTTGTTTATTTGGTTTAGTATTCCTGTACTGACATCTATTCCTATACCGAATTTAGTGTTAACTTTGAAATAGTCGACACAGCCATTTTTATGTTAATTTTAATGAATAATTCTCTCTGTAAGTAATATACAAATTTAATAACTAACATCCCAATCTACATAAAAATATTCGAAAATAAATATTTCGAAACAAAATTTCTTTAAATAAAGAAAATAAATCAGATCTAAATAAAACTATCTAATTGTTTGTGCCCACTTCAGATCTTCCCATTGAGATCTAACCAGTTACAAAATAATTTTGATATAAGGATATGATTCCTTGAACAAAAATTAATAAAAAATTAAATATAATAACGAAATAATAAAAAACAATTTTTGTGTTCGTGGTCGAAAATCCTCCAGAGATCCCGTCTTACATGCATTTTTGCTATAAAATATATTCTGTATGCAAAAGCATGCAGGGTTCTTGTGGTCTTACCTACTTAAAATATTTATTATATCTAATAATTAAAAATAAGTGCAGTAGGTACCTAAATTCTTAAGCATTATAATGTATTTCTTAGTCAATACCCAGGCATCAAGGTATTTAGAATCTCAAATGTTAACTATATAAAAAAGAACATTATATTCTGAATTGTATAATTATCCAAATAGTCGTGAGTCGTGAGAAAGTACGTTTGAGGTATTTCGAAATCTAACCTAAACTCACGTTACCAAACTCAAGTAACTAAACTCGAATTTCAGTTACAGCAATGTCAAGGAATCATAAGAAATCTGACTATAAACAATATTTACAATGTGCTACAAAACCCAAAAAGTTATGACGAAAGCGACACTACAGTAGGCCTATCGACACAATGTTCTCCGTTAATTATAACTTTAGTGTTGTTGTTGTTATTGTTGTTGTTATTGTTTAATAAAGTAGTTTCACTGTCTGATTCGTTCGAATGTGGACTGGGACTTTGCTGTTGCAGGATCGAATCGTAATATTGCGAATGCGCCGATAGTTGCGGCGATTGCGAATGGTACGTAGGGCTCAATCTTTGATGCGCTTGTGTCGTATAAGCATAACTTGCCGTCGATGGATGCGGAAGTTGATGATTGAGAGTTGTTACCGTTCTTAACTCGTTGTAATTATCTGTAACACAATCACCATTCTTTGTTCAATATCAACGAAAACTTGGAAGGAAGGTGCTTTTAAAAAATGAACAGGGATTTTCGAAACAATTAATTCATTAATTAACAGATAAACTTACCTAGAGATGTATGCTCTAATTTCACCCCAACATTTTCCATTTTGATGGAAGAGAGTGATGTATTGTTGAGATTTCTTGCTATGTTTGAATTTGCATTCGTGTCTTTACTTCCTTTTGGTTTTCGTTTCCTCGTCTAAAAATAAGATTTGTTCGTATCAAAATTACAATCCACCATTCTCATAATCTTTATTTTTGGAAAACCTAATGCTAATAAATTTGCAGATCGACAGGAATAGCTAAGACAACTAAAGCCCCGTATTAATCAAAGCGGGGAGTCCAATCACCTTGGGACTCTTGTTACCTATCGATCTTTTGAATTCATATCGGTATTCTGTAATTTTATTTTCACTTACTTGAATACTGTCTTTCTTCATCGAAAGAGGCCTGTTGACCGAATGGAGTTTGAAGTAAAGTCCGCAAGCATTGCATACTGGTTCTCCCAAAGAATTTCTCCTCCAGAGAGAAGTAGTGCTAGTATGACAATTAGTGCAAGTGAGGCCGGCTCGACGTGACGCGGACTATAAATAAAACGGAATTTTAAATTGATTCCGAATAGGTAGATGCTCCAATTGAAGAACTCAGTGCAAGAAAAGCAAATGCTCCATTTTTCAACACTTTTCAGAAAGAAAGAAAAACGTCCCATTCTTCCTCCAAAACACAGACTGTTTCTCTCAGACTGTAACTCCTTTCCTTTACTATCTTACGGAATATTAGTTGGAGCTGTATCGCTCTTCCACACAAACAGAGATAATTTTGTTCTTCATATATGTCTATAAGAAACAGAATACCAGTGGAGCTGTCCCCTTCTTGTACCGAGTTCTTCAATTTTTAAATGTATAATTATGACATTATCTAAATAAACAATTTACTTCTATTCAATTACGTTCTACGATATTTTCGTGATTTTGGTGAAATGCATACGCGCAAATATTTTAGAAATAGCTGTGAATAATTATTAGACCCGGTATTTAATAAAAATAATAATATTAACGGTACGAAATAAATATCCAACAAAGGGTTAATAATTTGTATTCACAGATATCCATTAAAGATAATTATCTACAAGAATGTCGAGCATTAGTTAAGGAATTTAAGTAACAACTATTATGCAATCATGAAATTTTACTAACGAAACACATATCTTCTTTATTCGAATGAATTTAATCCTTAACCAAGCCACAATGCAGAAGTAACTTAATATCAAAAATTACAGGAATAAAATTCTATACTGAAGAAAGGAGGAAGGAGATAAAACAACAAAGATACGATAACTTGAAAAAATTAAACCTACCAAACGTCGATTCGACTTTTCTTCAGTGGTGTGCACGGGATTTCGAACCCCGTTATACTGGGTATAGTAGTTCTTGTAGTAATCGGGAACACCCCCGTGGCCCGGCTCTGCCGCCACTGGAACGCAAAATAGGGGGTTATTTTAATGAAATAAATATTTCTCTTAGATAACAAATGTAATAAGGAACCGTAACGAAATTTCGAATAATTTTGACGTTTTGGTAGCAGCTTTGCCTCGCACATCGGGGGTGTTTTATTACGTAAATCTTCAGGATGTTTGGACCGAACGATATAAGCTTATAAATGAAGGAAATGCTCATACTTAGGTATTTTTTAATAGTACGTACAACAGTTTATTATTAATAATAATGCTGTAATATTAAAAAAAATATATTAATATCATTTAGTTTACATCTTCCTGTAATACAGTTCCTTGCAATATATTATTCATCGGCGTTGATTCATAATTAATGAGTCAATTATTTATCAAGCAAAATATAAACAATAACAAATCGTAGTAATTTTACTGGTATAATAATCGGAAAACTGGTTAGAAATAACTTGAACGTTTTTCACCGTAATTCGAAACTATACGTAGTTAAATTACAACTATTAGCAAATCTTTAAAATGTAATATTTAAAGGCTTTATAAAAAATATTTAAAATCATGATTTTTGTGAATTCGAAATAAAAATATTAATTTTAAATTTGCCAATAACATATTGGTGGAAGAAGATGATAATATTTCTGTATTACAGTTAGTGTAACAATAAATTTAATAAATAGATTTTTTATGAAAGTTAGTAGGTATCTTAAATATTTAGTAAAAATATAATTGCTTAGAATGAATAATGGTATTTAACGTGTTAAATCATTGAGGTAATGATTAAATTGATTGATAGTGAATACCTCATTCATAATTTCTAAGCAACTTATATTTGAACTTCCCTTCGGTCTGAATCTTTCCTTTGCATGCGTTTCAAAAATATAAAATACCAAATAATATATTCAAATAAATTAAATATGCAAATGAGAGTAGTTACCCAAAGGGAACGTACCTTTTCCCCGCCAATATCGTTCGGTCACTAAAGAAGTAAATGAACTGATGATTAAAATACAATTAAAAAATAGAAAAATCTATTTAGCAAAAATTAAAAATGTACCAATCTACGAGGCTGCTTGACAAGAGGCCGGTTCATGCCGTTCATCTTGTGGTAGAGGCCACACGCATTGCAAAGATAGTGGCCGGTGCCATCTCTGCGCCACAAAGGGGTGTCAATTGCTCCGCAATTTACACACTCTCTACCTTCGGTGAAGAATTCCGCTGTGCGTGGATCAACTGCAGCCAAAACATCAAACCGAGTTAGTTCAAGGAACATATTTACCTATATTCACAAAGGTCTAAATGCTTATTAGTGCTCGTATTCTTACAACTATTATAAGAGAAAAAATTAAAAAAAAACTCCCATGGTATAGTTGCTGTTGTTCCCTGCAACGTATACCAGTGGTTCCAAGAATCATGACATCGCACTTATTCCGTGTGATAATTTTCATATGCTAATATTTATATTTGTTTGTGTTGTTCATCGTTGGGAATTGCTGTTATGTCTAGTTAAATCGCCAGAGAAGGAATGTCTTGGAATGATACGCCACTAACCAGCGCGCCATTCTAATATTTTATTCAGCAATTAAGCTAGTATTTTTTCGTACAAAACAACAGACCATTGGATGTAACTGATGAATACCTTCGTTTGTTTATAAACCAGCGAATAATTATAGATCATTTATTAGCTGATTAGATACGAAGGCCCAGAGGAATGCCGGTAATTAAATAAGTACGTTTCCAAACACCTATATGATTGTACGAAAATATTCGGCCCCTTTGGCCGCGTCGCACTCGAATCATTCCGTTTTCCCGCAATAATTCCGACGAACAATTTACTACAAGCGCTGCATCTGGTTTGAAGAGGTTGTTTGAATTATAGAGCGGCAACGCAGCGTTTCAAAAGAGCAATGTCTGGCAGACTACAACACGAAATTTATTGACGAAATTTAATATTTTAATGTTAATAATCCCATTTGAGAGCAGCCGTCCGACAAACCAGCGGAAAATTGATCGAGGAACTTTTAATATTCTACTCGAAACTTGAAGTTTATTAGGAGATTTTAAATTTAATACGCGTGTCCTATTTGTGAAATAATTTAATATAAAGATAAATGCAAATATGTATGCAAGATAGGCTAAGGGTGCAACAAAGACAAAAGAAAAAGAAAGAGCGATATTGTAGGATTGCCACTTTCTCACTCTAACCACCGATGTTATTTGAATAATCTTTCTGTTAGATATAATTGATTATATTGCAATTTGCACTTACCTACATCACCTAGTTTTAATAATGTCCTAAAATAGGTATTTCGAAATTTTTATTATTAGTAAATACTCATCAGTTACAACAAACAAGAACAGCTTCGGCTCTATTAATCGAACGATTTTCTTTCTCGTCTTGGAAGCACGGCAATTAAGATTAGAAGAATGTTTAACATCTCGGCACGCTTCTGCCGATAAAATTGATAAAGATAAAGGAGAAACTCGGCTTGAAGTGGATATCGAATCGACTTGATTTACTCTTACTAGACGTTTCCGGTATTTGAAGAGAACGTACCTCTGTTTCAGGGTTCAGGGCATTACCTGCTTCCTGTCCAGACGAGACGACATGCAGTGGTGGAATGCGAGCATTGTTCACCAAGGGCTAATCGCCTTTTGGGCCAGATAAATGATAAAAATTTATTGTTTTTCTTCCACGTTCGCTTGAAAAACAATAGTCGATTGGCAACGGAGGGAAATAAGTTGAAAGCGACAAGAGTGATTCAGAAAGTTCACCTACCTGGACACTCATTGAATATAGGCTTGTTATTAATACTTTATTTTCATTGTCCGAATTCAATTTACTAGGAAAGAAAAATGTATAGAAAGTATACAATCACTTCTTTAATTAAAAAAAGTTGTAAAAGTTATAAGAGAAAAGTATAAAAAGCTGGACAAATATTTTCTGCAGTACGCTACTGATGGCCGGGTCGTGAAATAACCTGCTAGTGTACTTAGTGTCAATACAGGACGTCAAATACTACGAAATATTTATTTTTAATAAATCCCAAGTGAGAGACCTTTTAAAGGGAAATTGACTCATTTCTTAGGTATTCTCAGGTATTGTTCCAATATTTTTGATGAAACCATTAGTACCTACATACTTATGCTGCAACTTTTTTTTAAACGAAACCTATTAAAATTTATAAGCGAAATAAAATTACCATACATAATAAATAATAGTAATAATACAATAGTATTAAAGTGTATTCCAACTTGTACTGTTTTTATTGAAAAATGCTTTTAGAAAATGACAACATATCAACAGTTCTAATATCTAAATAAATCAATCAGTCATCGCTACACTTTCGCCACGTTTTTAAAGAACACGTTTCGAGTGGAGGAATCCTAATTTATGAGGGTGCAGTCTGCAGACCGAAACCATCCCTTTCGCGTCGTAAAAAATTGAGAAGGCGCCACCACGCCAATACCGTGGTGTCAGGTTTCCAAATAATAGGTATAAATCTATATACCAAGTTTTTGAATGTCGCCTTTATTTTGCGAAATGACCACACAGGGTGGAGTAGCAGATAAAACAGCACTAATTTGCCTAGGTGTTGATCGGAGGTTTCAAGAATAATTTAGAATTATCTAACTTTAGATATAGCAATTTGTATGTAAATAGAACGTAAAAGAAAAGCCAGGAACAGTTACAATTGTAGGATAAAACAAGTATTTTTTATTTGTAACGAAAACCCTAGACCAATTAGGTAAAACACACATTTTTACTTTTCTTGAACACACATCAGGATATTTATTATAAGAAATGTTATCAAAACAGCAAATAGGTAAAGTATGTTCCATGAAGTCAGCTGTAATGTACAGATTGCTAAAGAATGTTTTTAATTGATAATTTTTTTTTATTTTCAGCAACTCTTGCCAATTTAACCGTTTATCACTGAAGTGATAAAGAATAAGAAAGTCGAAGCAAACGAACACGCGACAAACAATTAAAAATAATTAGGAGAAATAGACAACTTAATACTCTATATTCATTATCAGCTTCTTTTTTTAATATTGTATTAATTGCTTGAAAAACTGATGGTGAGTTTTTCCAAACTTATGTAGAAATAAACGTTTACATTCCCATTATTCCATCATTGCAGATAATTCATTTACTTAGATAAGAAAGTTAATCCAAGTTAAAAAAATCTAATAACTCTTAGTTAAGCAATTTTTTTAAGTAAGCAACGCTAAATGCCAACAATTATTGAAGCTTCCCGGTAATCGAGTACGGATACCTAAATGTGACAATTCATGTATGCGAATGATAGAAAACAGATAAGGGGCGTAAGCTCCAGGGATTAGTTCGGTGTCTCGTACAAGCTAGGCGTGTGTGGTTTTTTTGTCCTTTAACACTTACAAATTATGAAACATTCCTTTTAACTTGTTAATGCCCTAAGTGGTCACATCTGAGACTTGTTGAGCCGAGAAATGTGTGTTCAAGTTGCTCGGGAAAATTTCCAAATATTTTTTTCGGTCGAAATTTACGGCCGTTGCTTTTTATTTGAATTTAGGTAAAGACTAGAGGCTTATAATAAATTGGAAAAAAAAATGACAAAAAATTAAATTGTTCAATGCAGCTCGAGTTTCACAAAGAGGTAATGAGATACGAGACTCCCTAAAATTATCCAACATGAAAGAATAAATGGCAATTGCAACAAACAATTCGTTTGTATTACTAAAATCGCATCATGTACGTACATATAAGTGAAATTATTACACTTAATATCTCCTGTTCTTTAAAATAGTTAATTGGAAAAACTCCAAAGCCCAGAATATTTCAGATCTCGAACTGTTTTATACCAACCGAATTTCGCTCAGTTTACCTTGTTTCATTCGTTATACCCAATATTATTATGGAAATTAATTGTACTTACTTGCAGACAGAGATGCTGCCGCGGAAAGCGACCGATTCCTCTGGGACGATGAATTTAAATTGTACTGCTCGGAGGTGTAGGCCGTCCATTCCGGGTAGATCGTATTCGGTAAATACGACCCGGTGCGGTGATGATTGTGATTGTTTGTAAAAGTTGTCGGCAACCTATTGAAGCCTGGTAAACTGCCCGCCGAGGAGGAACTTACTTTTGGATAATCTTCGGCTAACGACAGGGGTCCCGTGGTGTTGACACCTGAAAAATAATATTAAATTACCATCTCAAACGATAACCTTTATTTGAAAAGATTTATTGATTTGGTCAAAATTTTGGTCTTTCTTAAATGAGAAGTAATTTTTATTAAAAATAGATTGGTAAATTTTTTATCAGATTAATCTATTCCACTTAAACCGAAATATTTTAATTTTCGAATATTTTAATATTCGGTAACTAAAAATAAGTACATACGAGGATAACCTGACGATAAACTTGGTAATTAATAATGCAATTTCTTATGCACTGATTTAACTCGTGACATGTCTTTTATCACCATTAAAAGCCTAATACTCACCAATGTAAATACAAAAAAATATGGAACCTAAGAAACTGGATTGAATAATGCTACTGAACACAGAACTCAGAGTAAGTTAAATAGAACTAATGCAACAATTAATATTGCATTTATGCAAAAACGATTGCACAAACGATGCAAAAACGATTTTAAATGTAGGTACCTACTACTTATTGTAGCTAAAATTTCAAAGAACGCTTTTCGAATATTTTACTTTTCAAGGTGATTTAGACTATAATATCTTCATTAGCGTTCACTATGGTTTCATTGATTACCAAAACGTATTTTCTATATACAGGGTTAGCCTACTCATTAAGTGTTAAAATTAATTTTAATAAAAGAAATTCAAATTGATTATTAACTTGGATTAATTTGTAGGACTTAATTATGTGAGATAATTTAATTCCTAATCAATCCAATCCATCAATCGAACTTAACTTTGATACTTTGATGTTAAACACGATAAACAACTTCGGTCGTATTTTATTGCGTTTACTTGAACAATCATTTTTTAACCGTGAACATTGATGTTAAAATGTCATTACGATAATAATTACATACTTATTTTTTCAGAAAATTTCAATGTTAAATGAAATGAATTAGGTTTTCCTATTTTAGGTTGGGAAAATTATTAGGGCTTATTATGTTTGTGTTTGATTTAACAATATAAAATATAATTTATACCTATCAATGACAATAGTTGATAAATATTCATCAATTGAATTGAACAGGAGAAAGTGAAATGATTTGATAATTTTTAAAATCTAATACTTAGCGTATAGTATACAACTTATTTGACAAAATTGGAATTAATAACTCTATCCGGGTACAACGGATTTTTCAAATGACTATATTCTTAGGTTATACAATATCTATTAGATAAAATCAAAGTAGGTATAGGTAATATGTATTTTTTCATGATTTTTATTTGTTATAAAAATTATACCACAAATTTGGGAATAACCTACAAAAATAATTACAAATTTTGCATAATGACCTTTTTCTATAACATAGTATTAAATCAGTAGTAAAATGATAACATGTATTAATAATAAACGATTAGAAGTAAAGGGTTATTCACTTCATGGAAAATTCTAATAAATTAAATCACGAAGGAAACTAGTCAGTCATTTTTCAAATTCCTTATCAGTCATCTCGTTTCCTAATTAATATAAAAATATACACACATAAACTATAAAATATTCGCAACAAATTAAAAATTTGTACAAATAAAACGAATAAAATGGCAAATTTTAATCAAAACAATTTCGATAGCGTAGTGTCATCAAAGAGATCAGTAACTAAAGGTCAACCGTGATCTAGATATAGATTGAATTACTTTTTCACGCCAAACTCAAACATTTATAAATTCGTATGTACTGGATGTCCCTTTGAATGTTTACAAATAAGCCCTTTCAATTTTAATTATTTTTATCGACATGCACAATTTAACTAAAAATGTTAGCGCATTTTTTCATACGATATCTAAATCTAAATTTATACTACGATAAGGCCAACAAAAAATTGTGGTTTTGTCCACTATCATGTAATCTTATGGTGAACATTATGTGAATCTATTATATTTAAATTTTAGAAAATTCTCTTTAAGACTAAGTATAAAAAATATTTGTAGATTTTGGTGAATATACTCTGTATAGATAGATCTCAATTTAGAAGAGATTTTGTAAACTTGTAATTACATTTTTTATCATATGGTATAGTCTAGTTAATTTACGGAAAAATGAGTATTAATTCTCATTTTATAATAATTTTTATATTTCGGCCAAATAATAGGTACACGTGAAGATTTAAAAATGGAGACCTTCTGCAGTGGTAGATAAAAAAATAAATAAGTTGTTCTTAAATAAAAGTTCACAAAAATACAAATATAGTAAATAAAAATAATAGATACATGTACAAAAACTCACCTGAATTTGTCCATAATTGTGATGGTTGTGTAGTAAGTTCTGGTGATCCATTATTATAATAGGGCATCGTTCCCGCTGAATAACCACTAGGACGTGAATATAATGGACTAGAAATAAAAAAAAGAAAATTATTTAGATAAAAGAATCGAATTATCTTGGACCCACTTGTTTGATAAGAGAAGCTCTAACAGAGACGACATATCAACTCAATTACCGAAAAATCTTATCGAAAAATCAAAATTTATCTTTATCGATATAAGATATAAATCACATTGGAAAGCGCCAACATAAAATAGTTAAAAATACCGACTGATAAGTAAAATATACAACAAAAACTAACTTGTGTTGCTGCAAAAAATTCAAATCCATAGACCAACAACTGTCCCACTATGAAGCAGGCCTAACAAGTCGAACACAAAATACGCGAAACCGAATCAACCTTCGACGTACCCAGCCTTTGCTTATTGTGACAGGACTGACAACGCACTAACATTTAATTATTGGACGAGCTTTCGCTGCGAACCATCTCAGCTTGGGTGCCGTACGCTCCGTTTCGAATCGTTCACGTGACTCCTGACGTCACCCACCACTTCTGGACTCCTGGTTATTGGCAGGAAGACCAGGTGGGTAGGGTATATCTCTACTTTACGAAGAATGTACTTATGCTATAATTACTCATGAACACGTTCGTTAACCCTATACTATCGCATAATTATTGTTTATATTTTTTATCGGAAGACCTTTTGATTTTTTGATTGTCAACTTAAATTTTTAATTATTTATTTTATTTATCTGAATACAATTATTGACGATACTAGAAATAATGTGGAAATATTAACACAAAAGGCATATGCATGTATGGCAAAATACTAAGGTGAAAAAAATGAGAAGTGATGCTTGAAAATAATCACAACAAATCAGAATTGGTGATTAATAAAAATATTTATAGAGAAGGTATAATGACTATGTATATTGGATGGTAAAAGAAATAGGAAGAAATGGATACGAATTAGGAAAATACTGATGCAGCCCATATTATGTTTTCTTGTATAAATTGTGATTGCACGTTTGCCATAATAAATAATAGATAATGACATAATTCCGATAAAAACTACTCAATGTAGTAATAACTAGTGTTTTTGTATAAAGATAACAAACGACTTATTTATATAACATTTCACTTCCGTCTAGGTGTTAGGAATGGTTAGTAACTATTATGTGATGTCTAATTTTTTCGACAATATTTACCTTCCGCCAATAAAGCCGCTTCGATGGATCACGTTGCAACATTATAAACAAGAATTTAATAATTATTACTGACCTAAGCAACGTTTCGCGCCTTTGATTTTATTTTGTTTGCAATAATGCAATAATATTTAGCGAGTAAATCGTGCTTTTTAAATTTACTAAATGTGGAGGAACCCAATTTAAAAAACCCGTACATGTAATCAAACAGGTTAAAACAATAACACAAATCAATAGGCAAAAGTCTTCCTGCGTCCTCAATTAGCACAAGTTTATATAAAATCTCGTGATTTCAAGCAGAAACAAATTTATTTACGGAGTCAATACGGTAATATAGCAATCGGGAAGTTTAATATAAACAATTTAGAATTTTCATTTCTGAAATTATTGTTTATAAAAAGTGTCATGTTCTATTGCAGCAAACGTGCGGACCGAGTAGCGTCGGTTATGAAAATCTAATGTAGATGAACTGCAAGTTGTTGAGAACACTTCGGTTTTATTACCATTGCGACAAATCTCTTATTACCATTTAGTTCGGTTTTTAAACTTTTGGAAGGCCATTTAACTCTATAGTTATTAATTTTACATTAGTTGGAAAAAAATATTTAACACGTTTTTTCATTTTTATTGAATTTTAATAGTTCACCAGCACTTTACCGGTTGTTATTCGTAATTGTTTCTAAACTAATATTCTTTAGAAACCTGTATTTAAATTATTACGTTATTAGGAAAAGTCATATTACCTATATGTTACGTTTAAAATGTAACTAAATTTAATACCTATTTAAAACAAGATATCTTAAATTAATATTATGTAAAATTTGTTTTATTAAAATTTATTACTTTGTAACAAAAAAACAAAAAATTCTAGCTATTTTTTTATCTATATTTTCCTGAATATAAGGTAAAAGAAATATACATTTATACTTAATTGAAGTAATAGATAATTAGAGCAATCTTTTAAAATGCCATTTACCTAATGAGTGGAATGTGTTTTTTATGATTATTTTTCAATTTAGGTTGTTCTTATGCTTCAATTTTGACTGCAGTAATTAGTTAAAAGCAAGTATCATTATCAAAATTTATGCTTCTAAAATTCTTTTTAAACGAAATTATCGGTAACCACTAAACGAGAAGAAATTTTTATCCTCAGAAATAGAGGGGTACAACATTATGTTTTATCAATATTTTGTTGTAAAGTTGTGCGTTTACTTTTTAAACAATATAGGTATACATATGTACATTTTTGGTCATTTCTATTATCATTGCAGTAAAAAGTTAGCTGAATAATTTCAAAAATAAACTAACAAACGTATTCAACGCATCGCCAATATGAAAGGAAACTTGCTCTAATGCTTCCGCACGTGCACTCAACGCACCTAAGTCGCCAAAGAGGGTAGTTAATTTTCGATTTGTCCATTTAGACATTACCGGTACAAGGAGTTGTACTTTAATTCTACGACCGGTATCCGAGACTCGTGCCCAGGCACGCGACGAACGCGTTCCAATACATTGAATTCCTCTTTTCTTACAAATGTTTCCGGTCAAAAAAATGATAATCACTTTTCGAGCTTCCTTTGGAATGTTAAGAGGAATTGCTGATGCGATCAATCAATCGAGGTGAAGTCTCCATTATTTTTATATTAAATTGTACCTAATGTACGAATTAGGTTAACCCTTTTTGGGAAACGACTGACAAGTTCTATTTGACATTACATAGCTTGGTGTTTAGCTAAAAATATGATTAATGCAGACATTTAGCAAATGAAATAATCTGGCGCATTTTTTGGATAATAAACAATGCGCTAAATATGATACTTCTTCGCACGAAAAATTCAGAGCGCTGAAATGTGCGTTTTGCAAAGCGAATTTAAAAAGCGTAGGCGTTAAGTACCTTCACACGCTGTACCCATATAATTCATTAAAAGCATATACCATCCATCGGGTCATGGGAGGCTCAAACCGGTGCGACAATTCCGCTGATAGGGCGTTTTATTGATGAGATAGTATCGCATTGCACTTTGTAATTTAATTTTTTGTCCCATGGCTGAATGGACGGTTGAATATGATTCATTGCAATAATTATTTTTATATATAATTTTTAGAAAGTGCAAACACGACAATCTCCTGGCATGATAAACGGTTATTAGTAATGTCTTGATTGTTTTTGTTTATATCACGTTATAAATAATTAGGTATTGTCTATGAGCTATATATTTTCAATATTGATGATTTTTAGAACTCGCTTGTTGATGTTATTGTTCGTTGGAGGATATCGGATTTTATTTCATATGTGAATCAGATTATGTATGTATAAGTACGTTGCGTTTAATCAAATTTATCATCGCCAATTAGTGTTAAATCATTCAAAGGAAGAAACATTTTATAGACATAACTGATGGATTGCTTATTGTATACTAGATTTTTTAGTTATTGTCCAGGTACTATTATTTTTGTTAAGTTTTATTTAATTGAGATTTTCTAATATCTATAACACATCAGATAACACTAATAACAAATTGGTCTATGAAATAAACAGGAAAACAATAATATTTTTGCATAGAGCTTGAAGAGACCTTTCAAATGATATAACACAAGCCTTTACTTCTGATTTAAAAAAATAGGGGTTGTATCTGTCACTCGAAGGTAGGGTTCACATTTGCACGTAACTGAAATACCAAATTTATTCCGGTTAAGGTCTCCACCCTGTATATAAATTGTATGCTATATGTATATTAACTGTGGATTCTAAAGGATTGCATATTGTAGCGAAAATTGTTCATTGTGAAGTCAACATCTAGTGAGCATACATTTTCAGTAAATGTGTATTCTTTTCCGCCTGCATTCGTAATATTTTATGCGGGTTTTCTTATCAGGGAAACGGGGTAATGCGCTCGTTACTCCGCTGATAACGAACATTTAAATTAACTCGACGAAAACTATGCTTTCATAAACACCAACTTTGTAGGAAGAAGCCGGTCAGTTATGAATATTTTGCACCCGTTATACGGTACGTACACGCGCGGTGTGTGCTCAATATATGCTATACAGGGTGCTCCATATAATGACACGGTAATATTTAAGGGGGTCCAATTTAAAGAAATGGTCCAATGTAAAAAAAACATATAAACATATGTCCAAAACCTAAAATTTAGTAGTATATACATGCAAATGAATTTTATTTTTTTAATGCGAAACGAAGAGTCGTACGGAAAAAGTCAAAAAATCAAATTTCTTCTAAATTAAATGAGGATCCCGAAAATAAATTTTATTTGAATATTCATAGCATCAGACTTGTGCCAAATTTCATAAAGATATCTACAATAGTATCACAGTTATTACCATGAAAAAAATGATTTTTTTTCTTAAAACTTTAACACCCTCTATATCTCAGAAGTTAAGACGTTTAGAGCAAGGTTCTTATGATTTTTTTTCCTTAAAATGGGTCCAGGAACCACCCCCTTAAATATTAGCATGCCATTATGGTACACCCTGTACAAATACTTTAAAATATTGAACAATTTATTTAATAAGAAAATTCGAAATCAATTGAATCAAACATTTCATCGGAAATTTGATACTTTTGCCTTACATCTTCTTAGATTTCACTAATCATATTTCTAATATGTTTCGAATTAACTGAAATGTGAAAGATTTCAAAGGTTTCAAATTAAATATTAAAAAATCCATCATTTCATCCATCCTCCATTTAATGATTTCCAGTCATAAAAATACTAATGTAGTTAGTCATACAATACAGCAATAATACAAACCAATGACTCGATTGAATAGCAACAATTTAAGAAAATAGTTATTATCTTAATGGGTAAAGAAGAATTTTTTTGCAAAATATTCGTGATGTGGTAATGGCAATTTGTCTTAGATATTATAAGTTTGTACAATATTTAAATAGTTTCATTTAGATTAGGTAATGTAATTTTTCATGATCTCTTAATTGTGTGTTTTTGTTTTTCGGCGTGTTCTTATCGAAGAAAAAGAAATTTTATTGATAATAGAATAAATACCTGTCAAAATATTTTTTCGTGTTTTTCTTATATTTACGATATTTTTCTGTTATTTCCAGTACACGGAGAAAAATAGCTAAAATATTACGAAATAGCATTTTTATTTACATAAAAGTTACGATAACGAAGGTGATGATTGGGTTTATTTTGTTGTTATTTATAAATTATTATATTGAAATATTTGATAATATAGACATAATTTTTAATAAATGATTAGAGTTAACACTTATCGACAAAACTTTTTAACATGTAGTACCTAAATATCATTTCTAAAATCAGTTAAACGCGGCGTGAACATTTGTTATTTTGAGAATTTGAAATTCAAAAAAAAAAACAATAAAATTATATGCCTACTAAAAATAACATGAGGTAAAATCTATATAAAACAAATTCATGAAATTATATTTTATTTATGTATTTCAATTTAACTCTTTAAAATTGTGTTTAGTATTCTTTGTCTCGTACAGTTTATACTTTACTTATCATTTTAATGTAGTTATTTAATATTCAACACGTTTGTCCCAACTTTATTCGTGTTTTAGTTGAACTCCGAAACAGCAAATGAATAATTCAGTTAAATTAAAAAAAAATGGCCTCAACAGGAAATTAAAGGTTGATAAGAATGTTTCCTGTTTTTATTTCTGCACTATTACCTATAGGCAAACTTTTCCTTTAGTACAGTTATTCTAAAACATTTAATAATTATTTCAAACCGCTATAAAATCCCACTATCCGATGGAGGAATTAACCTCAATAAAGAAATTTTTCATTATCTACCAATACCTACTTATATACTGTTTATAAAAATACTTTCATCAGCGCATGTACCGAATACAGAACATAATCAAATTTGCTTATTTGAAAATTGAAATCAAAAAGTTTAGTGTAAATATTTTAGAACGGTTTTTAAAATTCTTAAAATATTTCCGGAAATTCCCACGATAAATGGCGCTACAAAATAATTGGATGTAACTGAAAATACCATGGCAAATACCTCATCATGGTAGACATCATATTGGTTCATTTCAGTTTGCAATTTTGTCATTTATATGAGTATGACAAAGAAAGATTACCTATCAAAATGACAGTTGTTAGAGTGAAAAGTTGCAATGACACGAATATCACTCTTTTTTTTATAATTTTATATTTATATCTATTTTTTATAATTATTTTTATTTATAAGTGTCTATTGGAAGTTGTCTTTATCGCACTCATAGCCTATATAACCTATATTGCAAAGTGTGAATCAATCTGTATAGTATGTTCATATATCTTTTGATATATAGATAATAATTTTTAAAGCCCTCAAAATTAGGCCATAATTTTCGAATTAGTTTAAGCTTATTTTACCGTGTATGCAAATCATAGACCTATTAACTAATAACTTAATAGGTCTATGATGCAAATCAACTTTATACTCGCACTTACCTAGACATATTTGCACCTGTAGGTGAATTCATTCCAGTTCCTGTATAACTAATATGGCTAGTAAGCTGTGTCAAATGAGATCCTTCTATTGTCGACTGATGCTCTTCTCCCGAATGTATAGTGGACAGTCTGTATACTTGGGAAGGTGAACCAGGACTGGGGCTACCACTTCCTTGTGATGGAGAACCATTCGCAATTGCCGTTGGTTCCAATTGGAGGTACTCTGTGCCATTGGCCTCTTCTATAGGAACCTATGATGTTAAAATAACTTTGTAAGACAGATCAAATGCCTATGCGAACTTTTAACTGATGTATGTACAAGGTACCTACAATGGTACAATTGGTATAATGATGGTACAATTTACCAGGTAAATCTATATAAACGTATTATTGATGGATCAATTGAAAACAAAGATTTTAAACTCTAAAATTTTGGGATCACTCAGGAGAGTAGGTAACAGGAAAATTTACAAAAGCAATATGTACTACTATACCTAGATATAAAAATGTCTCTTTAATAGAAACGACAAAAAATTTGACAAAAAAGAAATAAAAGATGCGATTGAAAACAAATAGAGTTATTGTCCACTATAGATGTAAATTAGGTAAATATCTATGTGTATACCTAATTTTCTACAACCAAGTTGTTTAAATATCCTAAAGTTTAATTCGCCTGCAGATTATCCTATATTTTTTTAATTCTAATTAAAAATCTGTTTCTTATTTATAAGAACCATTGGTACTGATTAATTTTGCCTATAATACATCAGAATAGTAAATTTGTACCCATTTTAAGAACTCATATAACTAATTAAACAAGGGGCAATGAAAAAAAGACAAAATATTGAGTATCTAATCCTCATTACAATTTAATAAACATACATCAGTAGGTATACTTGTGCTTATTTTATTTATAATTAAAATCAATTAGTTAAATAATTTAAAGATATACTGATAAATGTCGTATATTTTTTAAACAGTAGCGTCTGCGTCTTCCGAAATGTAAAGGTAAATAACAGAAATCTTACCTCCAAAGAAAACGGCATATACCTCGTATCTGATCTACTCAGTGTCTGATAATTATCTTGTTCAACCTCGGTCGTGTAAGTGAGGCATTCGAGAGGTGTGGCCGCTCGCGAATGGGGGGACGGTTCGGCCCCTTCATTTTGAGAGGCGGGACTGTACTGTTGCCTGGGCTCTTCTCCATATGCACCTACGAAACATACATGTATTGAGTGTGGCATACGTACAAGTAAACGAATTATTTACAATCATTTTTAAATTTAAACAGGTCCGGAGTAGCTTAAGATGGAAATAAATATTTGTGACCAAGTCAATGTTTTCTGTTGTGTTAGTTCGCAAAAATCCTGCAGATTTTGAAGTAACTATGCTTAATAAATATTTGGGATAAAATCTATATTAAATATTGTATAATACCTAGTATATTTATGATTGGATCTAGGTATGTTTATAGTCAGATATTACTACTAAAAAATAGGTTCATAATTAAAAGAGAAAGCACAACTAAAACCTTATTAGATATACTTTAATAAACTAGATCAATAATTGTTAATGAAATCGCACAATATATAACAATTTTGATAATTTTCTTTACAATCTTTGCACGTTTATCTCAATCAATTTACAAGTAAACTTCGCGTTACGTCAGATATCAGTGGGATAAGTTTAGCACAAGTTCAAATGTCATTCCCAATATACGATCTTAATGTTCGTTGAATGATCTTACTTCGTTTGATAAACAAATCTACGTTTATAACCGAAACGTGTTCAAGAAAAATTCTCTTGATATTTTGGAGTAGTAACTTTAATCTTGTTTTTTATGAAAAATGGACTATTAGAATGCTATTTTGAGTGGATAGGTCAGTAGTGCGATTTAGGTATCACAATGATAATTGTTATCATAAGAACATGATAAACTATTTATGGTATATTAGTATACATAAACGCATTTGAACGTAACGTATACCTACGGCACGAATACCTGGATTTTTCTATAAGAAGTATTCATAATACCACCGTTAATTTCTGGGATTTAATCTATAGGGATTTAGCCTTCCAAAATAATTACGAATTAAATTCAATTGATAAGTGTTCGTTCGACAAATCAACAATTTTAAATGTAAGTCGAATGAATTCAGAAATATACTTATAGAAATTATTAACCAATTAGGGTAAGATACATATCTTGCTTCATTACTTGACAAAATAAACTCAATCCTGAGATTAACCATACAGGGTGACTCAGAGTAAAATTCGGTTTTCGAACGTGCCTTGTGCAACCGTTTGAAAAGTTTTTGGAGGGCAATTTATGGTGAATACCTACATGCGGATCTTCGGAAGCGATTTCTAGCAAACCATTCGTATGTACTGGCAATTTGACGTTTTTTTAGTCGTCGACAAATTTAGTGTAATCGCAAGTTTAAAGTTTCCAAAAAACAGGTTCCGTGGTAAATCGGAATCACCCAGGTCAACAGAAGTCCATCAGAACGCCAGAAAACATTAATATTGAGCGACTTGCTGCGACTGGAAAGCCGAGGCAATCAATCTCAATGTTCTCTGATGGCGTTCTGATATGGACATCTGTTGTCCTGGCTGCTTCCGATTTATACCACGAAACCTGTTTTTCGGAAACTTTGAACCCGTATTACACTAAATTTGTCACAGGGATGAGCATTACGTATACGCCGAATATTGTGATGTTTGCAAAAACGTCGAATTGCCACTCTGAATCTTTCGCTTTAGAAACGGCCTCGACCGAAAACCGAAAATCCGCATATATTCACCACAAAAGCCATTTAAAAGGTTGCACAAGGCACGTTTGAAAACCGAAATCTCTTCTGAGTCACCCTGTATAAAATGACAACATACAACCCATTGATGTCACGTTTCATAAGAAACAATTTTCTAAAGCTGAGTTTAGTATCAGTAAATTTATCTGCATAGAAACGCCGGTACAAGTATCTCACAAACAGTTTTGTCGCAACAAATTTAGAAGTCAATTTATCATAAATTTAATTCGTATTTATTATTTGTCATTCAAAAACAAGAGCGAAGTCGTGACAAGTCTATTTGTGTAGCAGGATAACATGATGAAACACCACTGATGCTACTGCATACGCTTTTAATCGACTAAAGTCTTTGATATTCAGGCCTTCTCGCTTGCAATATTGTGTATAATTAGTTCACAACTTCATCAACTACACAAAAGAAATACGACTGTAAAAATAATTACTGCATATATAGGTACAGCCGGTAATTCCACCATTTATACCAATCATCCAATCCAATTCAATCAATACAATAAATGAAATTGCCTATTTTCCTATACATATTAAAAAAGCAAATTATACTAAGGGTATATGCATATAAATTACTAAAAATATATGTTTCACATTTCACAGAAATTATGAAAATTTTAAATTTATTGTTTTTAAAATAGGGTTGTTCGTGGAATTTGCCAATAAGGTACAAATATATGTAAGTATAATTCCTTTGTTGTGTGTATACCTAAAAAAACCTTGATAAAAAATCCTACCAAATGATGTAACCGCAGTAAGTACTTATTATAACAACAACTGTAACAATAATATGCCATAAGCATTTGTAGGTATATAGTGCTTTTTATTTAAAAGAAAACAATGAACCAATATTTCCATTTTCCAGTTAGCCTATATTAGCTTGCATATTTCCAATTTAGTATTTATGAATTTCTTGCGACCAATGACCGTGCGTAATTTTACGACTCTACCTGTGACATGTTTTTCCTATTCGATACAAGGCAGTTTTTTAATTGCATAATACGTAAGAAACTGTGATTCTGCTCAGTTTTTACGTCTTTCGCCGTAGGTGTCGATTTAATTCGCCGGAAAATGAATTTTTTTGTTCGATTCCAATCAATATTTTTATATAAAAAATACGGGATTGCATTTCTATTATACTTGCTCCAAGCTTGTATATGATGTATGCACCTACTATTTTAGTTCGATGAAATTGTATACGAGTGTGAATGTTTAGATTAAACAATAGCGATAGTTAATTAACTTTTCAAATCTACCGAATAAAGATAGCGGTTTTATTAATCTATTTCTTTAAAATGTAAGCGTCGTATTAAACGCGAAATTGTTATAATTATAATGTAAGGTATATACAATACATTGCACATACTGCAGCTTATTATCCCAGTAGGTTTACCCAGTAGGTAAGTATGTATATTATACTGAACGTATAGATAATTATTTTTAGTAATAGGTAATTATTTACGTTGCAAAAAATTCTAATGGCCAAAAGTGTCCTCAATTAAAAACTTGAAACGTATATACCTGAACTAGTAATAATATAGGAAAATATAATACAGTTCAGTGCTACTTCAAGCATAGTTAAACGAACTTGAATAATTTATATTTAGTGCTGCTCTTGATTATATTCATGAAAAACCCAATGCCATAAATTTTGTCATGTGACACGTTATTTTTTTTAAATGAGCGTTAAATGGAATTAATTCGAAGTTACATGTTAAAATCTGATCGGCCGTACGAAATCTAAATCAGTCATGCCGATTAGTGACGAGGAGAGCACTTAACCCCCGAAAACTTTTTCTATAACCCCATTCCCATTAATTTTACGGTTTCGGTAAGCTAATGGATTTTCTTATGGCCTGATATGTGTGAAAAAAAACAAATCATATCATAAGTCGACGTAATGGATATGTTACGGGCTTTCTCATGATTAATGAGTTGTGTATAGGGTTTAGTTAATTATTCCAGAAATTCTATTATAATTAAAGCACATTCAATGTTTGTATAAATATTAAAAAAAGTTCTATGAAAGTCTAGGTTTCTCGATTACCTACAGTATGCCAAAAAATAAATTTTACAAACTTATTCGGGGATCACAATATAGCTGAAAGGACATGGATCCGAAAAGTTTTAATGAACATTTATATTATCCGGACTGCTTATACAATAAAGAATTATGTACTTACAAAATTTTCGCCTATTCCAGTATCTATTCATTAAGTAATAAGCAGAATTATCACGAATATCTCCGATATATTTGCACAAACAATGCACAGAGTTGCGAATCGTTATGGAACGAAGTGACCGGCGGTCCAACTGTGAAAAATTTGACACGTATCCCTTAAGACCGAGTGCCGAGCTGGGACGTTATTTTTAGTAAACAAACTTTGAGTTGCTCGTGTTTTACAATGATAAGTTTTGGCATTTGGGTAAATATTACATTCGATAAGAGAGTGTTATTATATTTGTTGTGATTGTGATCAAGATAAAGCGACAAACATAAAGCCATATTATCCTGCCTTGCAGGCAGCGGACTTCCTGGACTAGCGATAACACTTTTCCCCATGACATTGTGTTATTTTAGTTCCAATGGAGTGGACCTATACCGATGCCACGTCGGTTGGAATTTTATAAAATTCCAAGTTAATCATTTCGTAATAGAATTTTAAAGGAAAATCAATCGAGGAAAAAGAACAAATAGGGTTTTATATATAGTACCTACAGAATTCAATTCATATTTTAAGTGAAAATGGAAAATGGAAAAACTATCAGTTAATAATATACGAAAAGAATCGTTTTTATGCAAAAAGCATAACAAAAAGATATTGCATGAAAAAGTATTATGAAAGAGAGAAAGAGTATACTAATTTATTAACGTCATAAATTCTATAAATATATAAAATTTATAAGTATAATTAATAACCAGAAATATTTTAACGAATTAAAATATTATAGTTTTTTTTTCTCAAATATGACGCTGATGCGAGAAATCAAAACTATAAAACAAGTATAGTCAAAAACTAAAAGTTTATATATTACATGGCCTTTTCGACCCCTACTTTCTTTATCAGACGGATTTGGAATATTAAATTTCTCAATTTGTTATCTTCAACCTATATACTGACTTATCTTAAGAAATAATCATAAATTTTTAGATTTTTATATTCAATACATATGTTTACTTTGAAATATTTTTTATGTAGTAAAAGATATAATATATTTGTTTTGCCGCCACTGAAGATAAGGGTATCGAAGAGATCTTAATTGAGAGGAAGACAGGTTTATTACACTGCCGTGATGAAGTATCTTTGCATTCACACCACACACAGAGAAATTGATACTATAGACAAGTATATAAAACTTAAAACTAATAAACGATAAGTTTGTATATCCGCAA